GGTTTCAGTCAGCGGGTTCGATTATAAAATCTTTTCAGTTGCGAAATTTTGATAATCTGTAATTGTTAGATCCATTGTATTTCTCTTATTTCAATAAATCGATTTATATAGCGGACATATTGCTAGCTATCATAATTTTTTTTTGGCACTAAAGCATTAAAAATAGTTTTATTTTTCCACTTGAGACAGAAAACTTGCAGTTCTTATACTTTCATCAGTTTCAGAAGTGGCCTCAATCTTTCCTAAGCCAGCTATGTCATCTTCCGCTGTTTATCAATATTATTGCGGATTTTTGATCTCTTTCATTTTTTTCATGCTTTAAGCTTTGGCCTCGTTCTTATTTCATGATGTTTGCCGCTGAACTTTCAGCTTTCTCGTTCGGAACGTTTGATGTTCCCGAAACGGGAAACTATCACGAGTATATAGTAGCAAAAACGTAGCGCGTGATCATGAAATGAAAGCCGATGCGTACCCCCCCCCTCTCCCGTCGATGTAAAGTGTAATGGGATATGAGAAAAATCTGTCGTTCTCGAACATTCTTTACCATCGCTCAACGATCGCTCTTTGTTGCACCAGCAACAGCAGTATTTTTATGCTATTTTGCATCAGGTGTTTTTACATTTTTTGTTATCTGGAAAATCACATGTTCATGATGTATAATTCCTCTATCTCATGTGTTGTTGAGCACGTGTTTGATGTTCTTTGCTTCCTTGACACACTGATTTCGCGTCAGGATTGCATCGTTTGAGGTGGGTAATCCAGTTTTCGCCGTTTTTATGGTGTTCTCTATTGTTAGAGTGATTGGTACTTCTGGTAATCCATCTCCTTGCTTGTTGGTCACATTTTGATACTCAATTTATGTCCTTTAAATCACTTTCGGATATTTTCTATTGTAAATTGTTACCTTGTGACTGTGATGGAAGCAAAGCTATGCTTCAAAGCTTCTCAGAGTCCAATATAAAATCCTTGATACCTCAAAGTCCAATCTAAAATCCTTGATACCTTTCTTGGACTCTAAGAATGTTAAATAGGCGTTACGCGAGCAGCCAATCGCATCGCCGCTTAGTGGGAAAAATTCTGTAAACATTACTTCCATCTGAGTAATGATTGGTTGTTCGGGTTCTCATATCCCGCGTATTCATCCTTCTTCTTATACAAAAGCGATACAAGTGAATTTTGAATTCGTAGATATTGTGGAATTCATTTTTTTACTTACAGTTGGAACTTCCGAGAAATTAAATACCAGTCATAAAAGTTTTGGGTAGAAAAACTACCCCACATTGCCTCAAACTTGGCCATCTGGTTAATTCCTACCTTTCACTATCCTTCATGTATTCTTTGTCTAGTGATTCGTATACTCTTTGGCTTGAATTACCTCCAGTAAAGAGATGTGGCAAGAATTCATTTTGGTCCTTTTTCCTCTCCGTTCAGTGAGCCTAAATCGGGTTTTGAAGACTGGATAGGTAGCTTCCTCACATTGTCTTAGAATCGGCAATGCTAGAGGCAAATTTATTTCATCTGGACGAGCACTGTACAGCTCATTTGCCGAGCAATCCATCCCATTTCAGTCGGCGCTCTTCTTTTGCATTTTCCTCATTCCGCCTTAATGGTGTCTACATAAAATGATGAAGAATGACAGACTTTTTGATTAGGTGGTCGTGACGTGCGTCAAATGTGCTTTTAATGTAATATACAATCTCATTACGTAACGAAATGGTTGCGTGATCTGTGCCACATCACGCACAGGCACATATAAACACACAATTGATATGGCTTTTTATGTTTTTTGATGTTCTTTTTTCTATCAGCGATGCATAGTACGTCAATCATCATTTGGGGAAGTTTTATTGTTGCCATAAAATTGCCCTTTGTCCATAGTGAAATGCCAACTCGGCATTTTCTATCCCGGAAGAAATCGCAAAGGATTTTTTCTGCAAGTAGAGCAACTGTTCCTCATCGATCTCGTTGATCGCCTGTTGACGAGCTAATTCGGTCCGTCTCCCCTAGACTTTGGTCGAATGATTGGCGTGAATTGTGATTATATCTCGACATGATTGCTACGGGATGGTCTGCGCTAAGCTAAGATACGTGCCAATTGAATACAGCTGTGCTATGTTTCCTGGTTGAGAACTCTGTTTTTGTGACGTAGATGCTCGCTTGTGCTTTGAAGTATGTGCGTTCCCTTAGTGTCTTGGATATTTATCATTTTTGCAGCTCTTAGGACGAGTTTTGCTTTCTTTTTTACTCTCCTGTTCTTTCATCTCTGATTGAGTTAAAGTGTGATGCACTACGCTAAATCCATTTACTGATGTTAGTGAATCTGTCACCATTTAAGCTAGAATTTTTACTTTCGTGCTAACTTTTCATACAAATTCTGAGGCCTAAACCAAGATATTATCTAAACGGCAGCTCGTCTGTTTTATTCGTGGTTGAGAAATTCAAGTCTAAACTCTCGCCCAGACCGAATTTTGCCTAGCATTCGGCCCACCGTACTTGAAGACACTGAATGGTACTTTTGGAAAGATATGAGCGAGAGCACCAAATGAAATATCATAACTTATGATAACGGGCTAAGAGTGTTTACGTGACTTTGTGTGTGTGTGTCTGTCTGTCTGTAACGAAATTCATACAGCGGGTTCCAGCCACCATCCCGAGCCCAAACTTTACATAGCGCATGCTACTAAGGTACAACTCCAGCACAAAAGCACGAACGGATTCATTGAGTGGGTCCCTCAGAATTTGCGCGTCAAACGGATCCACTTGGCTTCTGGCCTGCAAAATTGGGTCCGTATCAACGCTTTTTGCAAAGTCGTGGATGTGTTTAGCAGGTTTATGTGTAAGCCATGGACTTTAGACCAAAAAGTGACCAAAGGTTTGCTACTTTACGAAAACGACGCCAAAAAGAAATGGTCGCGTAAATGGTCAATCCGTGGTTTTACCTGAGCATTTGAGAAGATTTTTGCATAGAGATGTAGCTCACGATAACTATTGTCCTTATGGCGACTACCAAGCCAAAAAAAGTTTCAGAACCTGTTCAAATTTGCATTTGTTCTTCATTTTCCAAAGTTTCATCCACGCAAAATACCGATCTCACACGAAAAAGCTTAAGAAAGGAGTAGTTGTTTACGAATCATTCGTGTAGGACATTGCGCGGTATGTTTCAATGCCATGTTATGCGGGAGGAGTATGACATATAGATAGAAGAGCCAATGCGAGCCTCTGCGAAGCAGAGGTGACGCACTGGTCACATCTATAAGTGAATAACACGAGATTTCCTGATTTATGATTCATTGTAGTTGGGAAATTCTCTAATTTCGTCCAAACCATACTTCAGCTGATCAGTTGGTACTCCTGAGGTATGGTCTGCGTTAGAGCATGAAATTGAATTTTTTAGCCACAGATGAATTACACGAACTTGCGCGGCACTAGCTTAGTTGAATTCGCGAGCAATTTCCACGTAAGAAGTCCACATGCACTTATCTGCTGGTTTACCGTCTTGATTGCGCCTATTTTCAGTAGTTTTGACCTTCCCAATCCCGTTTCTCATGCTTAAAACATATGAGGTCATGATCAGAAATTTTCGTAGGTGTGAGTTTATTAACGCATGCAATGAGTCAAAGTAATCCACACCCGACATGTGACTATGAGAGCTTTAAGGACAGGCACTCCAGAAGCACTCCTTTCTTTGACCCTCCTATGCTCCAAAGTGCAAGTTCTCGCAAACTTACTGCGAATAATCGTTCCAGCTGTGACACATTGTCAATATGAGGGGTGGTACTAAAATTGCTTTACTAAAGTACGACATTCCATACTGCAGTGGAACTATAGTCTCTAGGAATAGGTGGTTTTTGACTTTCTATTGGCTTTTTAGCATTTCTGCGTGCAAGAAGCAAAGGTTGCACTTTGCGTGGCAAATCTCTTTGCTGTCCTTTCCGTCCTATTTATCGATCCTTTTTGGACTGCAAAACTTGCAGCGAAATGGTGGTCATTTTCTTTCGTTCGGCTATCCGGTTACAAGTGACGCAGAGAGTCTTTTTCATTTGAAAAGGGTAAGAGACTTTCAGAGTTTGCGTAAGTTCTAAAAGCGCCAGTACTTGTTTCTGTCTACGAAATAATTAACGAATTTTTGAAATATTAGCTGCACGATCCTTTTTCATGACTATTTGAGATTTTGTTTTAGCATATCCGTGGAGCTCTTCAGAAGATTCTCGCGAAAGCTTTCAAGGAATTTCTTTTTGCTTTCTCTTGACCAGAAAATTTCTGCGGTTGCCTCTGCTAGTCAATCGGTTTTTGAGTTTATATGATTTTGCTATCATACCTGATATCATAAGCTTCTGGAAAATACTGTAGACTTTTTGAACGACAGTGTTTTATTTGTCTTGTGCTGAAACGTGAGGCTGAGTGAGTGCGTGCTTGAGAGGGCAAAAGATTTCTGTCAAGTCTGAAATTCGCCCGGAAAAGGACAGCTTTCGTCTTTCATGAGAGCTTTTAGCCAGTTCCGTTCTGCTCTATGTTTTTCATGCAGTACTCATTGACGTAGACATTTCGATTTGCAAATCGTTGTCTTTGATTTTTATTCCCCTTTTCTCCAGCTGGAAAGCGAAGCTCAGTCAAAGTTCTGATTTATGCTCGAAATTCGTCTCCTCGTCTGAAGTAACTGATTTCGAAGTTGATAGGAAACTATAGGCTTCACAAAAACAACGATATGACTAATACTTGACGGCCGGAACTAATCATGTGGTTTTTATGTGATTGTGTAGGATGGCCTACTTAAACATCTGGCTAAAGACCTTTGCGCGCTGATGCCATCACATGGCGAATCGTTATCAAACCTTCTTTTGGTCAAAAATCAAGGTTTAGAGTCTGATCGCCATACAAATGCTTATCTGTACAGTATCTGCGATAGTTTATCTTTTTTTTCTCTTTTCATAGCATGACACGTTCTGTACTATTGATATAGCTCCAAAAGTGGATTTTCTCTCAATCCATGTTTTTTTCAGCCAATGAAGTCGGTCGGTCATCGTTCAACTATGCACTTGTACGATCAGCATTTGAGCAAGCGTTACAGGTCAGTTGTGCATTTTTAAAAATGTTTTATAGATACTATTTTCCGCAAACTTTTGACCAAGTTCGTATACATTATGGTAGCGTTTTTGTTGGTTTTGTTATAATTCACAATAGGACACTGTAATTATCTTAAAACGTTCGCTCAGTCAGTGGACGAAGTGTTTCTGTCCTCATCGATCAACATTTTTGTTCATTGCTCTTATCTTTGAAAAATCATCAATCATGGTCAAGTGCAGTGCACCATTTAGATCTGTAAAATGAACTGTAATCCACTGTATTGTCATTTTTCTTCGAAGTAGGAGCACATTTAACTTATCAAAAGGAAAGTTTATCTCATAGAAGAATTCTCATTTTCAATCATGGTTAAGTAATCAGTTTTTGATCATAGCAGTTGCCAGAGTTTGCTCTGCTTCTGTTCTTTTTGCATGTACTATATTCTTCCCTTCTCCTTTTTTTTTTGTGGGAACTGAATTGATAGCTCTGAACTATGGTAATTGAGAACGTCGAAGATTATGGGTACTTTCTCACTATTGTGAGGAACAGGTAACAAGTAAAGCTTCAGGTTTCTATTTTGATTGGGCATAATTCAGCGAATTCTATCAAAAATTGTGCTCGAACGTTCAATGAGTTAAGAAAAAAATAAAGCAAATAATGTTTTTGTCTCTGGTGTGTGATGACATAACTAGACTCGTTCAGATTCTCAAAGGTGTATTCATCCGTGACCGACGATGTGGCGCCGAATGGCGACGGTTCTACAAGGGAAGTATGATGTCATTAATCATGCCGTTTACTCAGGAACAGTTACAATATAGAAATTGGCTGAAAGTGAGTCTTTTGCCGAATTCGTTTGGGTGATGTGAATGTGAGTTTCAATTATGGTTCCAGAGTTTCGTTCTCGAATACAAAGAACCAGAACAACCACCGTCAACGATTGTTTGTAACACGTTTCTTGCTCCGGTGAGTCAATGAGCTTAATAATATGACATTATTAATTATTTATATATTTATCTATCTACTGCACCATGGAACAGTGCGCCAGATTAAAGGCACAAAATCATCACTCTTACATTTTTATCTGTTTGGTCCCTTTCTCACACTTTTTTGGTTTTAGATGGGCTTGTTTTCATTGCGAAGTTTGCGGATTTTCCATCTTTGAATGCTTCTTTCTCGTGCTGGAAATATTTAGAATTCACAGTTTTGAGAGAATCCATTATCCATCTTGCGTGCACTATCTAGTCCATCACTTACACTGTGTACAGTGCGGAACATCTGTCCAATACTTGCTTGCACTACTCTGCTACCTTACTTTTGCGCTGAATTTCCATTCGGTACAGCAAATTTATTGCAGTCCGTCGATTTGGCAAAATGTGCTCTTCAACAATACATCATGTCACTTCCGCGAAGTTCACGACCACTAGAAATTGTCGATCCACGAGACCTAGAGCGAATGTCGACCACAACGTCGGAAACATCTCAATCGCATGATAATGTGAGCGAAACGACATGTACGTCGAGCTCAGCTTCTGACGACGCTGGTCCGGTTGTTGAAGCGCCAATCGATGGATTGTCTGCGTTGACGTTATCGGAGAAAAGCGAAACAGAATCGTCTGAGGTGGGTTAGGATATGAGTTTCCTTGTGGCGAGATTTTTTGAAAGAGTTGTGAACTTTCTTGATCTATCGAATAGCTTTGTAGCACGAAGCGTTCAACATCATCGGCTTACAGATTGCTGCGAGGGCGGAGCCTTTGCGAGCGTGTCAGCGGTGCGGTTGTACAGTTTGAGGCAGAGCTGATAGATTGATTATGGGTTGACCACCGCAGCCGCCCTCTCGACAGTCTTTGAGCCCAACATATGCACATAGAGCTGCGGCGAAAAGATTTCCTGATAAGGCAGTTCAGCAATTCTGTTTTCCAGGTGGAGGTTCGCTGTAATGGTATCAATGGCAATGTGAAACGTGATGAATCCCGAGAAAAATCGGAACCATCCGAAAAACCGGCCACCACTCTAGCAGCCATAGTCGCCGGGAAAGTGAATCGTCTCAAATCCCGTGAAAGCGCTGACGAACTGGACAAGAAGAATGGGAACATGAAAGGTCGCACACCGTCACCAAGTGAGAACAAAACCCCTCCCGTCACTGCCACCACCCCTCGACACAACGGCAACAATCCCACGGGACCGTCGGCAGCATTGCCCCCTGCCCAATGTCGCGTATTCCATAACCAGCAGTACTATCAGAAACACGAACAACGCACAGGGTCAGCTTCGTCGCGTGACGGCGGTCGCGGCGCGGGCAACGCATCGCGACCGCTCGGTGCCGGAGGCAACGGGGCGCCACGTTCGGGCCGTAAACCAGCCCAACAGTACCAGCAAGCGCCGCCCCCGTCGTCGAATGGTCACTCGACGCAGTCACGCACGTCGAGAAGTGGTGGTCCCCTGCGCAAGAGCTACTCAGGCGTCTATTACAAAAGAGGTTCGGGACCTGCTGGCGGACGTCGCGACACGACCCCGCGCCTTGCCTCGGATGACGGTGGTGAGTCGAGCGAACGCGATTCTGTGAAGAATGACGGATATCAGACGGTACGCGCTAGAAATCGACAACGTCATAAGTGAATGACGTCACTGCCTTGATTTTAGCTCTGTAGTACTAGAATTCGATAGCAGTAACGAAGTAGCACTAATTAGCTGCACTATGAAATTGTTTTTTCGTTCTTTCTTCTTTCATAACCAGTCTCACCATGTAATTGCCCATTTTGTTAAGTTTTTATCTACTTTTATTTTTCTCCTAAGATGTAATAACTGTTTGTTCACCTCACACGCAACCACTGCAGTAAAATGTTACTGGAAAGCCAAAACTTTGTCTCAAAAACGCTTCGGGACCATTTTGAAGGTTGCAGAGGTTGCATGTAAATATATCATACTGACATCGTTACACTGGCTAGCCGGATGGTATCCCAAAGTGGGATTTTCATATGGTGTACACCAATACTTTCTTTATAATGAACGAAGTCGCTTTTTTTTTCAACAAAATCCAAAATTTGCGACATTGGCTCAAAAATTTTTTTTACGGACGACATTTTCTCGTGTATCACACCATATGAGATTCCATGAATTATTCCTTTTGCGTGAAGAATATCATATGTTAAAGCCATAAACGCCTTTCATTTGCTTATTTTCTCTCGAAAAGTTATTAGTTGTTATAGGCTGTTCTAACATGTTACCAGTTTTATTGATTTATCGATTTTATCGAGTGCTTTGCTTTCAACGGCTAGAATGCTACATCATAGCCTCCTCTAAGTGATTTTCCAATGTGTGCCTAGCTAGTTTACTTACCATATATTTTGAGTGACAATGAATGGGGCTCTGTAGTTTGTAGCTGGTGCAATCTTGCGTGCGTGTCTATTCCGATATTGCGGACAAATCTTTGTTGACGTCACAGGACGCATTGGTATCGGCACAGACACACGCTAGCACATCTCTCAATCATCACTAACCCATTTTAGTTACCGTAGTTACTTATTTTCAGCTTTTCCCTCGTATTTGTCTTAGAAAACGCACTTATATATGTTTGTACATATACGTGCTGGTTTTCGTTAATGAGTAATATGTATTTTAATCTTTACCTTCTGCTAACCCACAAAATGGAATTCTCATTATATTCGGCACTGTCTGCAAGATTCTACTCCATATTGCGTGTTCTCTCTGTTTTTTTTACCATCCTTTTCCCAGTTACCGGTTTGTGCTGCTTTCCAGTGTATGTTTCTTCCCGATTATCGATCGCTATTGATCGACATTGTAACAGAGGTGTATGTTTCCTATTGATCTAATCCCAAGAAATGCCTTTTGTCTTTGATATATCCCATGAAACTGTGTCTTTTAACGTAGCGTACAAAATTGTAGCGTCCCGTGTCTTGATTCGATCGATAATTTGACAGCATTCGATGTAAGAAAAGCAATTTACGATTTAGATCGAATCATGTGCACAGATAGCGCTTCTCAGTGTTATATATGGGTCAGCAGATACTTTTACAAATTGATTAAAGAGTGATTTGATTGTAGACACATCGGTTGCTAGTTTGACATACGCATCATCATTATCGGTCGGTTTCATTGATTCCCCATGATTTCTCCTCCACAATATAGTCGTCTATTTCGTTTATTATTGACTTATTATTGTTTGTTGAACTTCTGTTTAATCTCAAACTGTTCGATTATAATGTGACTGCTGGATTCATATGGTTTTGAGGTGGGAATGATCGTTTATATGAGTCCAGTGGTCCTTCATCGACTTTCGCTGTTGTCTTTATATGTGTTTACATGAAGTTGTTCGCGCTACATGTTAGTAAAAGTTTGGAAATGATTGGTGTTTCATTTCGATATGAAGCGGTTCAGAGCCGGCTAGCTATTTGCGAAATGGTTTTCGTTGTATGTGATTACCGTTTTCTTAGGGTCTGATGGTCCAATTTCTTTTTAACAGATGTCATCGGTAGAACCTCATGATCTTAGCCTTCCAAGCGAATCATCATCGTCATCATCAACGTGTATACCAGCCAATGCGGGTCATTCGTCACAAACAGAAATCAAGGTTGAGGTGAGGTTCATTATCACTTCTTTTATTTTTGTGTGGAGGAGACGAGACTGATGAAATTATTTTTTTTTTTGATGAAGCAAAAAGTTTTGAGTTAAGCGTTTTTATTTGGATCAGGTGGCAGGGGCAATTTGCATCCATGATGGATTTCTTCGTGCAAAAGTTGCACATTTTTATTTCAGAAAGTGAACCATAGCTGGACGGTTAAGAATTTCTCTCACTGTTATCAAGAATATTTGGAAAATTTCGTCTATCTGTCAAGAGGCGATGAAACTTTAACATGGTCAATAAAGATCTATCCGAAAGGCAATGGAGAGAACAACAAGGACTTTGTATTCCTGTGTCTGAATCGAGTTGTGAGTTTCCTTTTTAAGTAGTAAACTTGCAAATTTTTTTCGTCAGAAGAAGCGTTACATTCCAGGTGAACAGCAACGCAAAATCAACTAAAATAGGATTCAAGTCACGATTCATGCTCAGGACAGCTGAACTCAAGGAAATTGATGTGAGTTGCGTTGCGAATATATGGGAGTAGCATACTGGAAAATTGTCATTTCAGATGCGAATTCATCCGAATCCATCGCATTCCGATTATGTTTCCTACATAAAACGAGATATACTATTTCCACAAATCCTCCCACGAGATCTGATCATAGTAAATGTCGAAATTGACGTAGCCGTTGAGACCATCACGACAACTACCGAGCCTATCATGGTAAGCGGTGTTATTGCCGAGTATTTTTTTCTAATTGAGAGAAATGTTTGTGATGGTCCAAGTATGTCATGGTTGCTTGGAGTGGAACGACTTTCTTTTGCACTTTTGCAAGCAATCATAAGCGAATTTGTTCTGTTACAGTACTTGTGCTTACTTCACAAGAGCGAAGCACAATGCAAATATAGATATCCTTTTGTTTTGTCGCTAACGTTGTTAACGTAGCACGATCATGCCTACTTGCACTTAGCGCGTTTTTCTTTACCTCAGGTTCGGTATGAAAGTTTAACAATGTTACCTCTGAAAATATCCTTCCCTAATCGAGGCGGCTGACTGAGCAGGAACAACAAAAAGTGCTTTTGCAGTGGACTCACAGTTTGAGGTCACTGTTTGTCCATAGTGCGTTCAAGAGATGTTCTTAACATGTAGTGGAAAGAGCATGGAAAGGTTGCACATGTGAGAGAGTAGGATATGCAGGGGAATGAGCGAGTGGATTTTGGGGATCGAAGTAGAAAAAGTGTTAGTCGCTTCTGCGTATTTCAAATTATTTCCAGACATCAAACTGTGAACAGCAGCTAGTGGAAGACTATCAGCGATTATTCCGTGATGACTTGCTGACAGATTTCACAATTCGAGTTGGAGGACGAGAAATTCGTGCTCATAGGGCAATATTGGCTGCCAGGTAAGTTTACAGGGAAAATTTTCTTTTTTGCTTCTGCTAAACATCGATTGAATACTGCGCCATTTTTTTCTTCTGAAGCATCACAGAACAAGGGCAACCTATACTCCATGTTTACATGCCACTGTTCTTTGATGCTGTCTTCAAGCTGTCATACACCGCTTGGCACTCGTGCTTCATAAAACATAGAACAAATAATAGCAACGAAATAGCATCTGGATTATGCTTCCAATGAATGCTTTTTCAAATGGATTTTGCCAGAACAGGATGAGCGAATTTATTTCATTTGATGAGATACTCAATCTTCTAGGTCTCCCGTTTTCCAAGCGATGTTGATGCATGAATTGACGAATGAGACGAAGAGCGTGAGTTATTGCTTTTGTTGATGGGATATGGCTATTGCTGGGATGAATGGTTCCACTTGCAGGGTATCCTGGAGATTTGCGATCTGGACTATGAAGTTGTTTATGAGCTAATTTACTATATCTATTGTGGAAGATGCCAGAAAGAAATAGGCGATATAGCAACTGATTTGCTAATAGCAGCTGACAAATATCGATTGGTGGAATTGAAGGTAGGTGGAGCTGAATTCAATCATTTTCATAGGCAGAAATAGGTGCTTCACAAACGTGTTATCAAAGTTAACGAGTGTTTGCAAAGTAAATGCAAATCCATTTTCGCTGGCTTTTGATTGAATCCCCAAACTAGGCTGGCAATGTTCTTTGATCAGAAAGAGTACACCAGCAATTGAGCAGATATTCAAAAGTGTTTTATCATCTATAGAATCACTGCGAGAAGTTCCTGGTCGAGAATCTATCCAATGAAAATGTGTGCCAGCTACTGATTCTGGGAGATTTGTACAATGCAGAGCGATTGCAAGAGCGAGCTGTACAGGTTAGTGCTATGCACTTTTTGCAGGATAAAGGCGTATTTTAATTGCCTTTCAAGTCACATTTTTTTGAGTAATAATCTCCGCATACTGAGATTCGATATTCCAGTTCATACTTCAACGGCCTAAATATATCACATCGACACCAGGATGGGACGACATATTGAAACAGCATCCTCATCTAGTGACAAGAATTGTCAATCATTTTGATAAGGTTAGCGTTTTCATGAAACCACATGCTGGTTCACAATCAGCTGTGAGACTTCAGGTGAATAATTGTTCTTTGAGTCTTCTGGGCTGTTCTCTTGTTGTTTGGAATTTCGTTCAACATGTCTGTTTAGGCTCCCACATCAGGCAGTGCAACGACGGATCCACTGGCAATTCCTCCACCATCTTTGTGAACGACGCACTTGCTGTCGGGTCAGCATATGACGTCATGTTCTTCCTAATCTAGATGATGTGATTCACTTCTAAAATTTCTAGTAGTACGCTCGTTTAGCCAATTTTCCCTAAGATCACTTCTGAAATCTTCCATCTGGTTGGTCCTATCACAACCTTTACAGTCAGCAATTCCTTTTCTACGTTGCGATTTACATTGCTTTCGACTGATTCCATAAAAACGGGCCGCGTAGCTGTAAGGCATGTAGTGGGATGTCTTTAGCGGTTCAAATGCTCGCTGCCCTGCCAAGTCTATCGCTATATGGGTATGTTCCTATGCTACTAATACTACTACTACTACGATTATTACTGCGATATTATTCGCTTGTCTGCTATCGCTGTAACATGGCAGCTATGGGGGTAAATCTTATTCGCATAGTATGAAAAAAAAACCGCGCTAATTTTGTTCTATGTTGATTTTTCTGCTTGTTCACTTCAATCGGCGGTGACCATTAGTCCTAAATTCATGATGAGCTGATCATGACGAAAATGAGGGTTTGAGTGGGTATATGACATCTGAAATGATTGCTGCGGTTTCATTGTACTTAATCTATATATCCTTATATGTATCGGGAAATCTTGTCTCTTCCGGTTAATTAATGCGTGTGTGCAGGTCGAAATCACAGAGCGCTTTTGCGAGCCACATTCACAAAGTCGGGCTGATTCGAGCTAATTTTCCCCCTCAAAATTGAGTCAAAACGTGGGTATTATTTGCGATTTTTGATTTTCATCCATTATTTGTTGTGTCGAACGCTTGGGGTAATTCTTATCTTCTTACTTCCCCTATACGACTTCTTTAACAGATGTGTGCCGCAGGAAGTGTGCTTAAGTGTTTTTCCATGCGTCATTTTTTTCGTCAAAAGTTACAATATTGCGTAAGCGTAATGCCGCATTGTATGTTATTTTTGCTTAACTGTACTTTTAACATGATGCTTTGAATTGCTTGTGGTCGAGGCATCACTTTTTCAACAATGTATCATGTTCATTTTTGTTCATTAATAAGTGTTCATTATGCTTAAGCTGTTGAAATGCTGAATAAAGAAGTTCACTTTGCGAATAAGATCATGTCACCAGAGTATGTTCAAATGCGTTGTAGACATTGCTACTAATGAAGTTCAAACGTCTGATGAGGATATTAATATCTGTTGAACAATCTGTAAAGTCTCTATAATGCACGAACTCATCCTCTACATCGATAATTTGCAGTTTGTTTGGATTGGGCAAGGCGTTGTTGAGATTGAAAAGAATGTTGTGTTATTCACCAGGAAAATAGTGACTGAAAGTGATGGACAAAATGGTTTTTAAAGGTCGTGACTTCAACTTCAAGGATCTCTAATATTTTCACATTCTCCAAGTTCTTGATCCTTGATGAATTTCGGATTTCAAGTTGAAACCATTGGTCATGGAAGATGTGCAAATTGAGCAAAATGTGACTGCAGCATTGGTTTAGCAATAGTGTTACAACTGAAAGCTAATCAAGAAACCACAGATGATTTTCTAGCATTCAGCACATTCTCACTAGACCACTGAGATGGAGTGAGTACACATGAATGCAGCGGCGGGAACGAACTCGTTGACATGTTTCCAGTGACAGCGCTCACTGGCGCTAAACCATAGTGCTGCGTACGAAAGTATGTTAAGATTGTGAGTGATTGTTTAGCAATTGGCTACGCAATTTTTGGGGAATAAAATTCAAACTTAGATTCGATATTATCCCAAGCGCTAAAAGTTTTCAAATGAAAAGTATTCAAATGATTTTATTTTGGGCTTTTTTAGTCTCGCCTGAATTGCTTGAGAAAACCTTACCAATTTCTACCGCTTATATATCATGACTCAGGAATTCTCACAGGAAGTATTTCAAAAATGTGAAAACTTTCATTCAAAGGCTGCTCCAGTTGCAGGATCGCTAATACTTTACGAAATTCAAATGAAAATCCCTTGGATCAATAATTTCTTAATGTATAATCAAATGTCGTCACCTTAGCGTGCAGCTTTCAAATATAATGCTTACTTCAAAGTGTAGCTGTAGTTATTGGTTCAGCATTAGCCGTACAAGTAAATGCTAAACGCGATATCACAGGCCTTGTTTAGCATTCAGCACATTCTCACTGAACCATTTTGGAGAAGTGAGTACACTTGAATGCATGCGCGAAATTCGAACTTGCGAGCGTTTATGCCGTGGCAGCGCGCACTGCAACTGCTCCACGTTCATTTCAGCCACCGAAACGTGGCTGGGGCTAATTTTTTTAACGGCGAGTAAGAGTGTCATTATATGTTTGACGACCATCTCCTTTACTTCAAAATGCTTATGCCGTTAACATGGTTCTTTTTATGGAAACGAATGAGCATGTAAACGAAAACCCTAACCATTTCTGGTTCGTTTGCTAATTACCTTTTGAGAGTTTGTTTGTTTCCATTCAGGCACTGCTTAACGGTATTCCAGGTCTTGTCCCAGTATTCAACTTTTACATGGAAGCTGAATATGCTTATGGTCTGTCGATCTCTTCCCATTATAACAAATTTCGAAACTTAAAATGAGGTTGGCAAATTGGAGAGTCTAAGCGAGAGCTCATCGTAAGATAGCGGTGGTAAGAGCGATGTGGTCGAAAATGTGATAGAATGGCAAGCTAACAAATAGTCTCCAGTCAAAGTACTAGGTTATCTCACGATTCAGTATCAAAAAGCGTATGTTCGCCCCCAAAACAAACTAAACATTGTTGTTACTTTGCTACCTGAAACAGGAATTCAACTACATTTCCATATTTCAACATTACAGAGAAAAAATGATGGGAATGAAGTGACAACCCCATTCTTAGCGGGACTGGGTTTCTCTCACCCATCCATTTGAACAGCACATACATTCAGAAGTATGATAGTATAATTCTACTCTTGTAGGTGCCATAGTTCTCAAAAAATTGACTTTAGGGTAAAAGGAAAACCTTGAGGCAGCTGTGCTGGTTGGTAGGCTTTATTGTGGCCTTAGGCGGATAAGTTGCGCTTGTATCTAATGGAGTAGGCGGCTCCTGGTGTTGTGTTACAAGAACACCGTAAGCTACTAGAGCTTTAGGCCTAAGGCATACCTCGCGCGTTTCCGGTCGCTGCGCGATTTGGCACAAGAGCGACTCTTCGTAATTCGTCGTTAATGCGCTGCCTTTGGTCAGAGCTTACTCTGTTTGCAACAGCTTACACAAGCTACCCAAATATGCATCCGAGAAGTGCGCATGATAAATTTATAAAAATCTGGCAAGTTGCCAAGTCGCGTGAAAGTGGCAAATCGGCCGAATCGCGTGAGGTATGCCTTAGGCCTTATTGAACAGACGACATGCACCCATTCGTGCAGCGGTAGAATGCTGCAATATAATGAGCGTGACATATTAGTATAATTGCATTTGGGCTGTAGTGTTACTTATATCACAACAGGTCATGCTTGCGACATGACCTGTATGCTGCTTAGACATGAGTGATACGGTAAAGAAGAGTGCCGACATTGTCGGCACAACAACCTATCTGCTCCAAAGAGCAGAAATAACACTTACAAGGAGAGGATACTTACTTAAATTCATTTTTGAGATGAGACACATAATTGGAATCAGCTTGAAACGCTGATTCCATACATACTGTTCCTAGGTGCTGAGCATTATTCTGAAGCAAATTATGGTTTGTTTTCTGTGCAAAATTTGTGTGCCCATCGACTTAATGATGCCACGGTGTCAGCGTCTAGGTGCAAGTGCATTATCTGAAAGTGCAAAATGCTCCTTTCCAAGATCGAAAGGCCTAATCTGATGCTAGTTCAATGTCATAGCACCTTTTTCGAGCAGATTCCCATTTATAGGCCGTCTTGCCCAATTTGGAAGTAATTTGTCAATTTCTATATAGCAGGCTCATAACTCGCTTTAGAATGACGCTTAGCAGCTAGGAACACGGCCCGGCACGAGATGGGCGAATGCCAGGAGGAAACCGTTTTGGGTGAAAAGCATCAAGGCGAAGTCCCGAAAAAGAATCGGTAGCTCATGCTATCTGCTTATCTCAACATGTTATCTGCCTCAACAGACGCACACTGGAGCGTGGGGGTCAAACCTCGCCGTCGCTAATTGCCGCACGCGCGATGTCGCTTGAACGATGCTACTTGTAACAACGTGCATGTCTAGTTCTCAATGTATGCGCAACGATATGGCACCAAATTTCGTAAGCGAACGAAGATAGGCTAGTGGGAACAAATTATGAATAATTATGAAAAACTTATGTGAATGGAAGGTGTAAAAAGCATTTTTCCAGAATTTTTGCATAATTGGTGAATGAAGATGTGAATTCAAATGGCTCATTTACAAAGCACACATGACGATATGGCATGGAACTTCGTACGTACATGAACACGGGCATACCTTCGATAGTCAAGACACAGAGCCTAGAAAGTGATAGTTGTTTCAATTCCTGCCCCCTATAGAAAGTGAATGTGTTGTTTCAGATAAATAGATGGAAATTCAGAGATATGAATTAAACCAGGAAACTTGAAAAATTCATATAAAGCAGAGGTTAGCACATCACCAAATTTGAAGCCTTAACTTGGTGGTTTCCTACGCACAGTTTCCTCTTCAGGATTAACGGTTAAATTGGGTGGCAGCAAAAACAAAGTTCTTCTCCAATCAAGACAAGCGCCGTTTAGCTGTGGCGGTAGTTAAGAGGCCGAAAGAAGAAAAACCTGTCAACAACCGAATTGAACATGTTAAACACGTCTAAAAAGATATGTTGCACATCGACGCGCCAATCTGATTTTTTGATGCGTCCTTTAGATTTTCAACGCCGCATTCCTGCGATGTTGTCTGGATTCTTCCGCTCATCATTCTGAGCAAGTATTGTCCAACCTGGAAAAAATTCGTTGCGAAAGCACACTGAAAGAGAACAAGGTAAAGAAAAACGCATTTTTTTGGTAATTTTTACAAAAAAAACCGGCATAAGCAAAGAGGTAAGCTCGGCGATGTTGTCTACATCATAGACAGAAACAAGACCTATCGACTACACAAAAAAGCCGATTGAAAAGAGTTAAATTGAAGAAAAAACAAGTGGTTTTCGAAAACGCCGTTTTTTTCCAGGTTTCTCGTTTAAACAATAAAGAGGAGTCTTGCGACGTTGTCAGCCTAGAAACAGAGATCAAGAGCTATAATCTTATATATAAGGCTGAATGTCTGTTTTCTGTCTCTCTGTATGTATGTCTGTCTGTACGTATGTTCCGAATGAAAAATCCCATTTCTGAACCGATCAGGACCAAACTTGGCACACATACACTTCGGGCCCCGGCGGGTGTCACAGGCTACTTTTCGGATATCGATTTTATCGATTTTTTGCAAAATTTGAGCTACGGGCTGGGAGTTGGCACAGGGGGTAAGTGAGCATGCTGATTACAAATAAATTATTGACAGGGCCGGGCAGAGCCGGGTAAGCCATCTAGTATGATATATAGATTGTCGTAATTGGGCTCTGAACAACGAAGTAAAGGGTACCAGAGCCAAGTGCCCAGCGCCCCGCAATTGAGATAGCGAGGTAGCGTGCAACGCGCGGAGACGCAGACAAGCAGCGGAGATAGACCGGAACCGGCAGGGTATTTGGCTCTGGTCATTGATCTCCGCGGGGTCATAACGAAACCCTGTAACGTTATATATCGTTGTGATCCTCATGAGACGGCAGGAGCACTGACAACGTCGCGGGTCTTGAAAATCACTTCATAACGAGACAGACCAGCATTTATGTGGCGACTCTCTGCGCAAGACTTGAGCGCACTTTCTCGTTTTTATTAAACTTCAGCTGCTTTCATGAACTTCCAACGCTCATTCGCAGTCTAGAGGAAGGTTGATTGAGAAATTTTTGTCCTAGTTTCTAGTTGAATTTTCAAATAAAAACCTTCTTTCAGTAAAACAGGCCATAAAAACGCAATCCTTCGGTTTTTTGAGCTTCTTTTGGATGTCGCTACCATATTTGCCTCATTCACATTTATCCTTATTTGGCTATGTCATTAGTTATGTCACAATATCCAGGGCTTCTCCCCGAATGACTTCTGTACTTCTCTCCGGGTGAAGGTTGTGTTCTATTATGACGCTCGGAGAGAAGGTTATCAGAGTACATGGCTCTATGTATCGAAGGTGTGAATCGTGTTACACGGGCCTACAAGGGCTAACTGGAAAGTTTCATTGAAATTACGTGAGTGAAGGTTGTGGCAAGCTTTTTTTTTGTGAAAATTTCCCATTAGCAAAAAATGGAAATATGGCTCGTTTGCAACGCAGAAATGACGATATCGCGCGTGATTTGATATCTATACGCGCAGTAGGACCAAGGAACAAAGTATGAAAATTCAAGTAAAATACGTTAACGAAGTGCGTGCCCAACATTTTTCCAAATCAGGTGGGCAATTGCCCACCTAATGCGCACTTGAGGTACAGGGTTTATCAAACGCAGTGTCGCTTGCAACAGCATCTCCACTCCCGCGCTGGACTCTGCGTCTCTTCCGCGAACATGCTCACTTCCAATCGATTGAGACTCCGCCCTTCCCATGCTCGCCCTGGGAAAATGATCAGAGAGCATGCTTGCTGAAGAGATGCAGAGTCCAGCGTGGGTGTGGAGATGCTGATGCAAGCGACACTGCGTTTGATAAGCCCTGCAGGCAGAACTTTTGTTCTAATTTTTTCAAAATTCTTGCATAAATGTGTTTTACACCAAAGTTTACTATACAGTGGCATTTTGGTTTCAAAACGCCTCCTCTCCTCCTTGTTAGGATCCGGAGCTACGACACCGGTCCCTTGGAAGGAGAAAGCGTGCTCCCACCGAACAACCTACGCAGCTGGCAGGATCAGGGAGGAAATCGTGAAATCGATAGTGGCAAAGGCGAAGCCGTTTTACCGAGTCCATCTGCCACCCTCGTGCTGGGCCTGGCTAGGAATGGCATATTTGGAATCAGGGCTTCAAGCTGATTATTATTAGATATTTCGATGTGTTCTTCGGATATGATTACATTGTAAATTCGCAGTATAATATTCAGAAGTTGGGGGGCGTTAATTCGCCAATTTTTTTAAATTCATCATTTCCTTTATTCTCAATAAATCTTCTTGAAATTATTTCTGTCTGAAAGAAAAAGTCATGCTCTTTATAGCAGTGCCTTTATCATGGGAAAGAAAATTTGAGAGTTAGAAGTAATTGAAGGAGATTACACAAGATTGGCATCTTTCAAGCAGGGTCGAGAAAAAATTCGAAAGTATCCCCGACTAAAGAGAAGCTATTGCATATTACAGTGGCACCTTTGCATGAATTAGTATGAGATAGTTCGAAATTCAGAAGCAAATGAAGAGAATTACTTCAGTTTTGCTGTTTTTGAATATGCTCAAAAATCTTAAAACATCACAGCAGGGAACGAAACAGTCATAGACATGGGTTTTATGACGTCCTCTTCCCAGTCGACGGAATTCGTGCAATCGAGAACAGTTTTTGATTTTCGTAAGATTTCTGGTTTTTCGTATTTGCGCTTTTGAAGGAGCAAGACGGGCGGAGGACCTCTTCCATAGCGACTTTCTCGCTATGTAGGTCAAACCACGACATAATCACTTCGGTGATGGCTTGGCTGGGATGCCCGCTCCTGCAATGCGCAAAAAAAATTCATCCTCCCACTTTTGCGCAGACGCTGCCTTCACAATGCCCACTTGGATTGCATTCTTTTCTGTGAAGCCTGTTTTGCGAAAGACTCCGGTATTCGAAGGGTGAAATCAGGGCTCAGCACAGCTGGCACCGGGTCAAGCTGGATATCGTTTTCATGGCGGAAAGCGAAGGGGATATCGTTTCTACAGGGGCCGAGGCGGAGAACTGCCGCAAAAATGCCGCCGGCATGCCACCGGCATGCCATTGGCAAGCTGTCCATCAACAAACAAAAGCGTTGTTTTCAGCCAAAACGCAATAGTATGACACCAAATTTGGTGTGTGCATGCGCGTTGGTGGACCGGAACTATAGGCCAAAAATTTATGAAAACTTATGTGAATGAAAGCTGTGCCCAAGTTTTTTCTAAATTAGCTGGCACCGACACTTTGCTCACATAAGTTTTCATACTTTTTTTCATAAAATGTATCTACACTGTAAAAGATTACACACGGAGTAGAAACAGTTTCATAATGTTCTCTTTTCAGCGTTTTATAGCAATTTGAAAACCACTCGGCCCGCTCCGCAGTCGAAAAATCGGCTTTTTCTGCTTCTCAAGATGTGATTCGACCACTTAAAAAGCTCAGCTGTGAAAAGTTCTTTCATGAAATTAGAAATGCGTGAAAACACTACTACATTTTTTTACATAATATAAAAATGATGACGGGTTTTCAAAACAGGTCAAAATTGAATTCGTACGAAATTTTCAATATCAAACGGGACTTCGTTTTGAAATTTCCCTGGTGCCAGCTCGTGCCGAGCCCTGGGTGAAATATAAAGCTTAATAGTTTTTAAACGAATTGCTTTATACTTAAACCAGTGCGTCACCTCCGCTTCGCGGAGGTTCGCACTGGCTCTGCTACCCTGTTGCCTTATTCATGCTACCAAAATGATGACTATGAAACTCACCGCACGATGCTGTACATTATAAATGAATTGTAAACAACTGTTCATTCTTAAAGCATTCCTATGTAAGATCGGTAATTTCGAGAAAGAAAACTTTTTTGCCAGAAATAAAACGAACTCGAACAGATTATTGAATTTGTTTTAGCTTGATAAATGTTATAAATGTAATATTCATTTTGGGCTACATTTCCGTGCAAAAATCTTTTCAGATTTTGAGATGAAACCTTGCCAAATCGACTCTCTACGCGACCACTACTTTTTGGCGCTGTTTTTGCAGAAAAGCAAACTTTTTGAGTACTTCTGGAGCTAGAATTCTTGGAGCGCAGATCTGCTTGTCAGGCAAATCAGATTTTGCAAAAAATTGAATTTGTGACCTAGTTTTGCGCGTCAAAAGCCAGGTGGACCCGTTTGAGGAGCAAATTCTAGAGGACCCGCTTATCGAACCGGCTCGTCCTTCTGCATGGTGGGCTTACACGCTGGTACGGTATGCTATGAAAGTATGCATGTGCTTGTAACGCTGATGTCTTACAGACTAATTTATGCGTTTTAAAGTCAAACTGCTTCCACCTGTCCAAAGGTCTGACACGTGTGGCCAGCGCGTTGGAAGTCTTGCTTTCCTCCTCTGTTAAGTTAGCAATGAAACTCACCGAGCATCACGAATGAAATGGGGAAAGCTTTTCATTTCAGATGCACTGTCGTAAGTAACCGGTAATTTTGTATGAAAGGGTTCTTTCGAACGGGGAACAAATACTTTTTTCAGAATGAATACTAAACTTTTGAAAACTCAATAGTTGCCATTATAAAAACTGATAATGTGAGCTACGTCTCTGAGCAAAAATCTTTCAATTTCGTCTAATAGAACCTCTGGAAATCGAAGAAGTGAGCACCTGCCGCGTTTTCGCATGCGATTAAACTTTAGTAGTTTTTTGAGTTGCCGGAGAAAATTTTGCGGATTTATATGCTAAACATAATCATAACGTAGCAAAAAGTTTGCATACTGAACTACTTTTGCGGATAAAAAGAAAAGTGGATCCGTCTGACGCGTGATTTTTAAAGGATTCACTGAAAGGATCCGCTCAAGCTTTGGTATATTGAACTCTCATGTTGGTAGCATGCGCCGTGCAAAATTTGGGCTTAAGATGTTGGTTGGCAACCGTTCCACGAATTTCGTGGCAGACAGACAGACTTACACACACACATCCACACAAAAACACGTAAACATCCTTAGCCCGTTATTATAAGTTATGATAGCATATGTCCAAGAATGTCGGCGATATGTTGCTTGGGGCAATTACAAGCAAATAGGCAGAAGTAATGTTGATTGTCCTTGTGAAATAAGGGTGGCGATAGTGGGCAAAGTCACATTTATGAATTCCCAATATATCATCTCAGTGGTTGAGTATAAATAGAGAGATAGCGAAGTGGTATTCATTTTGTTATGGTACATCACTCATAATGTGGTCGCATGTGACCTTTTGGCCAAGTGCTTCTTTAGTAGCAGTCTATACCCTGGCAGTAGCTCCTTTGATCGCACAAGTAATGGCGAGGATTGAAGTTCACTATAAATGTAAGAATTTAGACAGTCTGTCTCTGCTTGTCTAGAAAGAAAGATGAGGAAACGACGGATTTGACGGAACCAGTGATGATGACGGTGAGCATAGAGAGCATTCTTACACAACATTAGTCTGCCGCATAGAATTTTTACCGTATTTTCCAGGCCGTTATGACTCCCACAGTAAAAAGCAAAGGTGGGTGATTGCAGGTGGCACGGAGAAGTTTCTTCGATTCGTTAGTGACTGCAGCATTTATGAGCCATGGACACCCTACTTTAATATGCATATCTAAATTTATCACCTCACCAAGTTGTTCGCTGCCCCCTCCATAATTCATATTCCCATGAGAGGTTATGTTTTCCCAAGTTGATAGGCATGGACGGACTTCTGTAAAACGCAAAATCAACGCGCATTTTCAATATAGCAGTCATAAGTCTTTGGCTAAAAAGGAAGCGATTTGCAAGTGCACTGAAGACACCGTCTAGGTATGGTTAGAAATGAAGAGTGGGTTTTTTTTGCGGTAAGGTAGTGAAGCCACTTGCTAACTAATTGTGCAGGTCTTGCTGCTAAATTTGTATCTACTACGGAGAAGGTCGCACGATTTGGATGCGAATATAGCGCTCCTACTCTTCATATCGAACCATACATCGTCCATAGATATGGTTAGATATGAAGAATAGGTTTCTTTGCGGTAAGGTAGCGAAGCCACTAGCTAGCCAGTTGTGCAATTCTGGCTGCTAAAGATGTACCCACGATCGAGAAAGTCGCACGATTTGGATGCGACAGGTATAGCACCGCCTGTGAACATGGATGATTGTATATACGGGTTTGTGCCTCGGAGTGCAGAAGTTCGAAATCTGAGACAGATTTAGGGCCGCGTGCATTAACATCCCTGCTGGGGAGGGTATCGCAGCTTAGAAAGAAAGCTTCATATTCTGAAGCTCCAGATATCTGGATTTCACGCTGTATAATTATCCATAAGTATTCCTACCTTTCTTCACTATGAACATGTTGAACAGGAGCGGAAAGCTGTACAGTCGCATTATCCAGCATTTTGTATGATCCCCTGATGATCCCCTGCGGCCGACCCTCTTTTCTTCAAAGTCATTTTTCTTTCTTCAAAGTTAACGAAAACCTTCTAAAGTTGTACTAAACATCTACACAACAGTGCTAAACATGTTGCTGATAAGAACAGATGAGTTTTGAAAAATCGAATTTTTCGATAAACCCTAACATTCGACTTGTGGTTCATCGCAAATTTCATGACTCCAATACATCATTTGTTCTTATCAGCAACATGCTTGGCACCGTTGGGGTAGATGAACATTACAACTTTGGAATGTTTTCGCTAACTCTGAAGAAAGAAAAATGACTTTGTAGGAAAGACGGTTGGCCGCCAGGGATCATCAGGGGATCGCACAAAATGCTAGAAAATGAGGCTTGTACAGTTTCTCGCTCCTGTTCAATATGTTCAAAGTAAATACTGATAGGAATACTTACGGATAGGTAGACAGCGCGCAATCCAGAAGTTCGGAGCTTCAGGATATGAAACGTTCTTTATAAGCTGCGATCTCCTCCCAGCGGGAATGTTAATGCATGCGGCCCTTAGTCAGTGGCTTCCCCTCTCCGCTCTTTGATGTAAGGTAGTTCTGCATTTTTTTTGCAAGGTTTCGCAGAAATGCGTTATGCGATAGCAAATTTTCGCGATACACTTCAAAAGTTTTGAGAAGTTTTAGAATATCAACACTTGACTTCATTGGAGATTGTAATGGTGGTTTTACAGAGAGCATCGAACATAATCCAGCACCTACTCAATTACTAAGTGTTTCCACTCCGCTAATGAACAATGGAAGCAAAGTTCACAGAAAAGAGTTACTTGAAATACTTGGTGTTGTAGCCGTCACCACAGGGGGTGGAAGAGATCCACCGAAGTTTCCAAAGAAAAGAAGGAATATTTTCCATAACGATGATTCTGAGGCAGAAGAGACTATTTACGAGAGAAGAAAGAAAAATAAGACAGAATCAGGATCGAAACTCTGCTCGCTAGTGGCACAAACAAAAGATCTGGAAGTGGAGAACACGGCCCAGTCTCCTCAGAAAACACAGTCCTACATTGAAGAGGATGCGGGCAAGATCTTCAATGCAGAGAGAGCGAAGGAGAAACAAAGTTTGTTTGAGACCGTTCGAGAATGGATTGAGGAGCAGTGCACCCAACACCAGCTGAGAGATTCAAATTTGGAGACGCAGTCGAGTCCTAGGCGCTCGAAAGGGAGAATACACGGAATTACACTTATAAACGAGAAAGAGACAGCACAAGAAGAGCTGCCTCCGGATAAAACGGTGCGATCACCGATCTTGACAAAGGCCAGCAAGGAATCTGCAGAGGTAAGCTTTTCTGCAAATAGAAAAAGTGTAAAAATCTCTTTTCGTTTTTACAACCACGGTAGAAACTTCTGAGTAAGTATTGCACGATTAAAAACCAGATTTTGCCTTGAAATTTCAAAAGAAGAGAAGCATTTCACAGAGCAAATTGAAGTTGGTGAATTTGAGATTGAACATTGCACATCACTTCGGGAATTTCTTCGAAAGTTGTATCAAGAACACATTAAAACAATCTTTGCGAATTTTTTTGTAACTGATCACCGCATCTCAACTGCTTCACAAACCTGCATAACGGTTGTTTGCTGGAATCATGGACTCTAAAAAGAGCATCAGAAAAAAGTCTCAGGCGTTTTGGAAATATTATGATTGCAGCTGGTCTGCGCAACGCCATGATGCTAGAAACTCCTACTTTAATCTTAGAATAGCGAAGTGCAAACGGTACTTTGCTCCTGCAAATCAGTTTGAAGCAAAGTATAAAATATTTTTCATAGTTTGTAAATGCTTTGTTGCTGTAACCGGCAACAAGAAAACAGTTTTTTAACGATTCGGCCTAGGTGATGGGATAAATCCAAATGTTCTATGCTTTATAGGCTCTAACGAAGGCGACTATGCCGAAACGTTAGCCGAATAAACGGTTTAACAATCTTGGTGCCGGCTACAGTAACAAAACATTTACAACGATATGCCAAGATTCATCGAGATCGAACATGGAATTCCCATAGGATTGGCAGAAAAATACAGCGCAAAGGCTATCAAGATCAAGCGGTACATTTTTTGGAACACCTTCTTTATATCGTACTAATCTTTATGTCGTACATAATCCACTTGCTCTCAACACAGATTTTCTAATATAAAAGTGTTGAATATCGTTACACCACGAGTCATTACTACAATTCATACTTCATCTATAGATCGGCGGCAGGGAGGGAGCAGTTGAAACCGAGATTACGTCGCAGCCAAGTGAAACTCCAAGAAAAGGCCGAAAATGAAAAAAACTAAAGCACAAGTTTGTAAGTTACTTGGCCGTTTCCAAATCAGAGGTTTGAACAGCCATAGCCGGGGCTAAGCACGAATATTACACACAGGATATAATTCGCATAAAGCAGTGGTAGCATATTTGCTTGTGTATAAAGCCTACGGACGAAGGCAACCTGATTGAGCGGGGAGAAGAGATGCGCGCACAGCTTTCAAATATCGAATTTGATTAACGTGAATCTATAAAAGCCTCCTATTCACTTGTTGTTTATTTGAAAGCGGTGAACGACCGCGGAACAGTCTTGTCGGAAAGAAGCATGAGCACCTTAAATAGTATGTGTTTTACTGTGCTTGCCACATGTAAATGCGTGAAGGGCTAATGTGCAGGGAGACCAGCGGACAAAAGAGCGTCATTCTATTTTCTTTTTTAAAAGCAATGTGAAGAGACACGGCTTGCGAAGTAGTTCTAGATTGCTGTCCTAGTGCTTAATGTGATAGCTAAGAAATGCCAAGTTTGCTCGAACGCTGCCTTTAAAAGGGTCTAAGAGACCTATTAAAGAACTCAACTGAGGCACGGCTTTAGCGACAGTGCAAACGCGACATGCACAGCAGAGAAAAGTATCTTCGAAGCTCTCCATCTAACTTCCAGACCGAATCTCGCCATTTGCCTGTTTTCTATTGTTTCCGCGCGGAACTCAACACATGTCGTTTGCTAGATAAGTTCTAGATTCTGAATGCGCGGATTTAGAAGCGGATTTTCGGCGGTGAGGATCAATCTCAATCAATCACGTTGCTTGGGTAAGCTTCAATGAAGGCTCTTCAGCAGCTTTTGCGCGAGATCCACATGTTTTGATAGCCGAGAGAGGCCTCAAAAGAGGATATTGAAATAATTTGTGTGCAACCCCGACTACGGTCCCTTTCGATATTGCTGTTGCAACACTGCTTAAGTATGGCAAGTTAGAGGGTCTTCTGATATATTCTATGTCATTCTTCGAATTTGCTTCAATTAATTGCAAACATTATTTAGTATTTCCAGCCAACAAGAAAAGAAGTATGTTGACCAATCGACGCTAAACAATCTGCATGCAAATTAATGTGAAACCTTTATTTATAACAAACAAATTTATAAATTGATTTCTAATTGTGTGATAAACATTTCAAGGTGCTGAAACATACTGATTTCCGTCGCTATTTGGCTTTAACCTCCGGCAGTGAGACTCTTGTTAGAGACATTTGTGAACATGCTTGTATATGTCCACTCGCTGTTCTAAATATGTAGATTGGGTGATGTTATATGAGTTTAAAGAGCTTCAGTTGAGTGAGTTTCAAGAGGTTCAGCCAAAACGAAAATCGTTATAGTGTGGCGGCAATAGTTGACCTGGATTAGGCGCTATCGCGGGGCCCGACGTGGTGTCAGGGGTATGCTGCAGTGGTGTACCCAGGATGTCCGTTGGGGTGGGGGGGGGGGGGCAAAATTTTTTTCCGGATGAAGGTGCGTGGCGTCAGCCACGCTTTACAAGGTTAGTTTAAATTTTTAAATTTTTTTAAAAATTATTTTAATTCTTTACAAGTAGAAACAAGTCCTCTGCACATCTTTATAACACATCTGAGTAACTTTCAAAAATTTCGCAACCCATTCTCGGGGAGAGGGGGCGCCTCTCCCCCCCCCGCCCTACCCCTCCCTTCAGTAGGCCTCTGGTATGTTGATATCCTTTATTGAAGTGTCGTCCTCCAAGCTATCGGCGCTGTGTCCTCCTCGGCTTGGCTCTTCAGCTGAGATCAGGGCCTGGCACGCGTTGGTTTGAAGCAATTTTGTAAACGAAGTCCCCCATGACTTCGCAAAAATTCACGAAGTTCCTTTGATGTAAAAGTCAGCAGGGAAATCCCTATTCAATCAGCATAACAATATAAAGCGAATAAAGCGCATATTGAGGTATCAAATATAACAAAAGCAGAAGAAAACATTCTGAGTGCTCCGTCTTGAGAATGGTACCATTTTGGTATTCAGAATGTTAAGAACCTCTTAGATCAACGAAATCTGTGGCCTCAACGATATGACAATGCTTTTTTCCCGCATGGTTTAAGGGACACCGCGTGTGATTGGAGCGCGATAATTATCAGTGCGTAGATTTACATTATTTTTGGCTCAAAAAAGACGAGAGGCAATGGTTTGATTCGCTCCCTTCGCTATATAATAGATTCTTGAGCGTTCTAACCATCCAAATCAGAAAGGTCCAAAACTTATGTGAACTCTCCGATATGTATTCCGAACCAACCCAGTTGGAATGGTGTTGATCTGGAAACCAACAAATTCGCGAACAGATATTAGGAGACATAAGTTTTCGAAGCTTTTTACATAATATAGTTTGGAGTAATATTATATACACATAGCCCATATTCAGTATCATGCGATTGTTTGTGCGCTATACAAGCCATTTGTTAGTCTGAGTTTTGCTTTTGAGATTCACGCGCTTGCGAAAGAACACTTTCAACTCGTAAAACGTGACATGTTGTCGTTTATTTTCTCAGCGCTCTGCCTAAGACCTGAAAAACGATATCCCCATTGCCTCTAACTTCAAAAACGAAGTCTAGTTTGACCCCAAACCATCTGTACTGGACCCTGACTGAGATTCGACCGCATTGAGCACCGACGACAAGACTCATTTGAGCCGAGCGGAGTCGCCTTATACAGTGCTGGCCAAAATTATAAGTCCATTCTGAAAACTGCCGTGGCTTATCTGCCTTTCAACGAATTGATCTGTTTTACAGTTGTGTGTCTAACAGACTACCATCACTAAATAGAAAGAATCCCGTTTTTGTTTGATTATTCAGGAAAAAATCAAAAGTTTTGAAAAAAGCAGGCTTGAATGTTGGCCAAAGCTTTAATTCCACCTAAGGTTTCTATCCTTTCAAAGTCTTTTGTGCATAAACATAATCAAAAGTCAAAACAGTCGCTTTAGTCCAGCTGTGTCATACCTTTAAAAGAAAGGTTTATCTGCTTTTTTCCGCTCAAAAGTACTTTCATGCGTATTTTTTTCCCGAGAATGTATTTTTATGCGTAATTCCGCAGTTTCTTGACTGGTTTGGAAGTGATAGAGCTCCACCTATCTTATAGATGCTTAGCGAAGTGAGAACTAGAATAAAATTTGAGTTTTCATATTTGAAGATATTTATTCATATTTTCATATTTTATTCATTCATATTATTTTTATGTTATTATTGTAAGCTCAAAATAATTTAAAGCATTTTCTACATAAAAAGAAGTTTGTACAGTGGATTACGACTGTTCGCCAAGTCAAATTTTGCTTCGTTCTCAAAGCATAAATCTTCGCGGTTCAATGATAATATTTAGGCAATCAAAAAATCAATCATCGCCTAAAATACCACGTAGTACCTTTCCTTTTTTGGCCATTGGCTATTTAGCTGTTAAATAGTGAAAATACCCTGTATTGTATGTTACCTTGTGACTCACGTGAGCATTGCGCTCAGAACCAAAAATAAGTTCAAGGCTTTTTGCATTGTAAGTAAGTTTTTGTAGGATGATCCTCAATTAGCCTGCATGCTAGGACCTGCGGAATTCTGTAACCACTGCATCCGGACTCTCATACGTACAACAATGTTAGTACTGTACGTCACGCTCATGAAAACATTGCAGAAAGAGTCTGAAGGCATAATTTGAGCGAAAGCCTGCGGTTAGGTCTATGTCGGGTGCGCTTTAAAATGAAAACTCATGTTTTCCTAGGTTCTCACTTCGTTAAACATCTATAAAATAGATGGAGCCCTATCGCTTCCAATTCAGTCACAAAAACAAACTTTTGTTTTTCATGCATATTTTGTTCCCGAAAATGTGTTTTTATGGGCGATTCAGCAGTTTTTTGACTGATTTGGAAGCGATAGGGCTCCATCTATTTTATAGATGTTTAACGAAGTGAGAACCTAGGAAAACATGAGTTTTCATATTTAAAGCGCACCCGACATAGACCTAACCGCAGGCTTTCGCTCAAATTATGCCTTCAGACTCTTTCTGCATGTTTTCATGAGCGTGACGTACAGTACTAACATTGTTGTACGTATGAGAGTCCGGATGCAGTGGTTACAGAATTCCGCAGGTCCTAGCATGCAGGCTAATTCAGGATCATCCTGCAAAAAACTTACTTACAATGCAAAAAGTCTTTAACTTATTTTTGGTTCTGAGCGCAATGCTCACATGAGTCACAAGGTAACATACAATACAGGGTATTTTCACTATTTAGCAGCTAAATAGCAATAAATAACAGCAAAAAAGGAAAGGTACCACGTGGTATTTTAGGATTGCCTAAATATTATCATTGAACCGCGAACATGTGCTCTGAGAACGAAGCAAAATGTGACTTGGCGAACAATCGTAATCCACTGTACAAACTTCTTTTTATGTAGAAAATGCTTTAAATCATTTTGAGCTTACAAAAATAACATAAACCAATTTTGAAGGCAAAAATTTGAACGCAGGCCTGCGGTCAGGTCTATGTCGGGATCGCTTCAAATACGAAAACTCAAATTTTATTCTAGTTCTAACTTCGCTAAGCATCTATAAGATAGGTGGAGCTCTATCACTTCCAAACCAGTCAAGAAACTGCGAATCACCCATAAAAACATATTTCGGGAACAAAATACGCATGAAAGTATTTTTGAGCGGAAAAAAGCAGATAAACCTTTTTTTCAAAGGTATGACACAGCTGGACTAAAACGATTGTTCTGATTTTTAATTATGTATATGCACAAAAGACTTTGAAAGCCGAGAGTTACTTAGTGGATAGAAACCTTAGGTGGAATTATAGTTTTGGATAACCTGCAAGTTGATTTTTTCCTTAGTAATCAAACAAAAAAGGGATCCTTTCTAGTTACTGATGGTAGTCTGTTAGACACACGACTGTAACAAATTAAAAATTCGTTGAAAATGCTGCGTAGAAGAGGACGGAATAGTGTTTCATAACTTGCTGACGGGGACTGAGGGAAGCCGCGCTCAGCTAGTCAGAAATAAAACACTTAGAAAAGCCATTTGAAGATACCAAGTTGCGATGCGGTATACATCACTGACGGCGCGCGCGAAGTTTCTTTTGGTGCTAAGTGACTATTGTCTCGCTTACACCGCAGGCAACTATGACACCAAAATCGGTACGTGCGCAAAAGGATGATGGAAGAAAACTAAGGAAGGAAACCGTGGCAAACTTCTTCTTCGCCTAAAGGTGGCATACTTGGAATGGTGGACACCTTTTTCAATTGCACATAAATCTGATCTTCAGCTACTGTTTACCAGGGGTATCATCAATCCCCCGTTTTGAAAATGGGCTATCATTTTCAATAGAAAATGATCGCTCGGTCAGGTTGACCGCCCGACCCGTGATGTATGAACTATTAATAATGATCGCCCGCATTCAGAACGGGAGATTGATGCATACCGCCTCAGGTCTCCTTCTTACTGGAGTTGAGATTCGAGATAGTATCGTGGATCCAAGTCTCCAAGCACAAAGGTACGCTCTGGTAGATAGAACACTGCAGCCAAGCTGACGGTCAAAGGAAAAAATATTAAAGATTCAGATTTTTAGCTAACTCAGGGAAATAATTTCGCACTCACCATTTTGCGTGCGACAATTCAGAAGGCTAAACCGTTTGAATAACGTTTGAATTGTTTTGGCATGAAAGAAATGCTGCTATTGCTTACGTTATTCAGATCTTCGAACACAACACTTTTAGCGAAAAAAGTTCGTCGTTCTGTAAGCTGCAAAGTGGAGTTTCTAGTAATTATAAATCTATGCAGCGGAATTTGAAGGAATGTAAAATAAAGGCGGTATCAGGTGCTTACGACGTTGCAGGCGGAAACCTTTCTTATAAATGGTGATAAACGAAACTTCACATCACAACCCGATAACGTGTACAAATGAGGCAAACAAAAAAGCAGCAAGATCTTGGAGTTTTTATTACATAGTGGTCACTTGTAGGAGTTCACAGGTATACTGCCAATCAACAGATGATTGTCAGAATATCATAGTATGACCAGACAAGCTCATTCAATCGTTACTGCACACTAATTTGGGCAAACGAGTCCCTTTTTTAA